GCCTCCCTCTGCAGCTAGCTCTCCGAGCTCTCCACAGTCAATGCTCCTCTGCAGGCCCCACTCCTTGAAGGAAACAGGCTGTTCGGGACACACAGCTCTTACATTTTTTTCCACCCCCTCTTCCATGATGTTCCTTGAGCTTTAGAGCTGAGGAAGTGGTATAACTTTCCTGTTTAGGGTGAAGCATTCAACCGTCATTTATTCTCAGTATGTTAAGTAGCTGTAAGTCTCTATATTCACCACCACTCATTGCAAAGAGAAGCTCCTCTGATTAAGGCTGAGCATAGCATTGTCTCTGGGTATAAATATAGATGTTTAGAACACTGTTTGGTGACATGTAGAACTTCTTCGGTATGAGAGTGATGCTGGCTTCATAGAAGGAATTAGGAAGCTCTCCCTCCATTTCTATCTTTTTGAACAAGTTAAGTAGTTGGATGTAGATCTTCTTTAAATGTCTGATAGTATTATGTTCTAAATCCATCTGGTCCTGGGCTTTTTTCAGGTGGGAGGTTTTATATTACTGTTTCAATTTTTTTTTGTATCATGGGTCTGTTTTAAGCTGTTAATCTCTTCTTGGTTTAGTTTTGGTGGTTCCCATGTCTTTACATACCCATCCATTTTTTAGGCTTTCAAATTTAGTAGCATATAGGTTTTTAAATAATGTTCTTTATCTTTCTGGCATCTGTTTTGATGTTTCCCCTTTCATCTCTGATTTTGTTGATTTGGAGGTGCTCTTTCTTTCTTTTGGTTAACTGGGCTAGTGGTCTGTCAATCTTGTTTATCTTTTCAAAGAACCAGCTCTTTGATTTGTTGATTCTTTGTATTGTTTTCTATGTTTCAATTTCATTAATTTCTGCCCTGATTTTTGTTATTTCTTCTTGTCTGCTGGGTTTGGGTTTCATTTATTGTTACTTTTCAAGTGTCTTGAGTTGCAGTGTTAAGTCATTTATTTTTGTTCTTTCTGATTTTTTAATGAAGGCACTTAGAACTATAAACTTCCCTCTAAGGACTGCTTTCAACATGTCTCAGAGATTTTGTTGTGTTGTATTGTCCTTTTCATTTAGCTCCTTTTTTTCTTTCTTAATTTCCTTTTTGACCCATTCATCATTCAGGAGTGTGTTGTTCAATCTCCATGTGTTCATGTAGTTACTAGGGTTTCTTCTGGTGTTAATTTTAAGCTTTATTGCATTGTTGTCTGATAGAATGCATGGAATTATGTCAATCTTTTTGTATTTGTTGTGGTTCATTTTGTGCCCCAGTATATGGTCGATTTTGGAGAAGGTTCCATGGGGCACTAATAGAAAGTATATCCTTTGGTGCTTGGGTGGAATACTCAGTAGATGTCTGTTAGGTCCATTTGATATATGGTTTTGTTTAATTCAGATGTCTCTCTGTTAACTCTCTGCCCTGTTGACCTATCTAATGGAGATGTATTTGCTGAGCTTTGTTTTGTGCCCCAGTATATGGTTGATTTTGGAGAAGGTTCCATGGGGTGCTGAATAGAAAATATGTCCTTTGGTGCTTGGGTAGAATACTCGGTAGATGTTTGTTAGGTCCATTTGATATACTGTTTAATTCAGATGTCTCTCTGTTAACTCTCTGCCCTGTTGCCCAATGTAATGGTGACAATGAGGGATTTAAAACCCCCACTATTA